TTCAGCGTCTCCGTAGGATGCTGTTACTCGTCCGGAGTAGCGGCGAGATTCTGTCCGCCACAGCTCACCTCAGTGAAGATGTTATAATCCCATGAAACTCGGAAGAGCTCTGTTGTCATGTCAGGATCTTCCCGGCTCACAGAACTGAACAGAGACCCAACTCCCACAGAACTGAACTCTCACAGCCCTCACAGAACTGACAGAACTGACAGAACAGGAAGTACCGACATTTTAAAGAGCTCTTTTCCCGGTTCATTCGGGAGTCTCCCCATTGGCCAGAACCGACCAGACGGGGTGTGTTTTGTGACGTAAAAGGTTAGAATGCAGCAAGAATTGTTATGGAAAGATCAGAAATGTTCTCACAGACAGAGAGAGTTTTGTTTTGGCGAGTTTCAGAAACAGGTGCCAAAACCCCCTGTTGACGTCTGAGAGGATATAAACAGGACAGTTGTTCCAATGCATGTCTGCTTCGACTCCTGACCCTGGAACGCACACTTTGCTCATTCACAGACAGAAATCAGAAAATGCATAATTACTCTGTAACAGCTTTAACATGAGTTCTAACTTTGCATGAGAATTAAAAATCATTACACGGTTAATAAAATTGATTAGTTCACTGCAACATCTAAAATGGTTTGAACTAAGGCACTTTGATTATCAACATTTGTAAAATAGTAATGATAATAAAAAGAGAGTGTTCTTCCACTTGAATTTTTAAGAAAGAAAGTCTCAGGATGGGTGAACCTGTATTTCTGGATTCAAATCAATGAAATGACAGTTCCTGTCCCACAAGGTTCTTAAGGTCAAGAGTTTTGACCTTAGACTTAGTCTTGACCTCAGATTAAGTTCACTACACATTCAACCTTTATTTCTACAGGTAAATCCCATTGAGCCTCGAGGTCTCATTTACAAGAGAGACCTGACTTCAACAAAGAAAGATGACAACAATGGAAAACAGCAACAACAATAAACAGTTATAAAAAGTCATACTACAGTTTTGTTTTGTTTTTTTCCTTTAAACAAATAAGATAGCCAAAAAAAAAAAGGTAACGAAAAAAACAGCTACATTATAAGGAAAATGTAGAAAACTAAGAACAGGAACATGTCAGCATTGGTCCCTGCCAGGAGTCCAACAGATTCTGAAAGACACTTAGAGAGGTCAAAGGTCGAGAGCTTCAGATCTTTCTACAAGATATTCCAGGAAACAGGAGCGGAGTAGGA